AGGTAAAGACTTTTGGGTAAGTCTTTACGCAGATCGATGTCATGGAACATCTCTCCAATGTTTTCTTCTGTAGTTTATATAGTTTCAGGATTAAATATTTGTCTTTGGTTTTTGTGTATGGTGACAGCTAGGGATCTAGTTTCATTCTTCCACATCTGGTAACCTTTCCCCATTGTATTTTCTTGGCCAAAGATGAGTTGGCAGTAAATGTGTGGATTTACATCTGGATTCTACATTCTGTTCCATTGGTCTATGTGTCTGTTTTTATGCCAGTACCATGCTGTTTTGGTTACTATAGCTTTGTAATAAATTTTGAAGTCAGGTAGTGGGATGCCTTCAGTTTGTTCTTTTTGCTTAGGCTTGCTTTGTCTATTCCATGTCTTTTGTAGTTCCATATAAACTTATGAATTTTTAAAATCAATTTGAATAGGAGAAAAAGACACAAGGAAAAATCAAGGAAAATCAAGGAAAAATTAGGAACATTAAGATAATATTTCTTTGAAAGCAAGGAGACGTTACAGATGACCTGTTATGTATACTGAGGAAAATGGACAGAGAGAGAGAGGTGTGTGTGTTTGTATGTGTGTGTGTGTGTGTTGTAGGTCGGAGGGGATAATTACTCCAGGGTGGAGAAGGGCACATACATGTGAAAAGTAACTAGGCTGATTGACCCTCTTATTTCAGAGTAGTTTTCCTGGAACAATGTTGGCAGATATATCTTATTAGAATTTTTTTTCTTTTCTGAGACAGAGTCTTGCTCTGTCACCCAGGCTGGAGTGCAGTGGCACAACCTTGACTCACTGCACCTTCACCTCCTGAGTTAAAGCCATTCTCCTGCCTCAGCCTCCTGCAGATGATGCATCCTGCCAGGAATAGATCCCTCCCTTCAAGGCATCAGGTTCCCTCTGGGTCCAGGGTGTGTCTAGAAATGTCATCTGGGAGCTAGGGCCTGGAATAGAGGCCTTACAATTATGACTAGTATTCTATCATACTGTGGCTGTGCTGGTGTCAAAGGTGCAAGACAAAAGCCCTCTTTACTCTTCCCTCTTCTCTGCTCAAGTGGAAAGGGAGTGCTTGCACTAGCCTCTTTTCAACCCCAGGCAACAGCCTCTGGCTCTTTTGTGGCTTTTTTGGAACCACAGCTATATTGCTGGGGTTGAGGGAGGAGTAGCAGTGCAAGCACTCCCTTAGATGACCCGGCTTGTGACTCAGTAAGTCTCATGACCTGGAAGTCCACTGTCTTCAAGCCCAGCTCAACACTAAAACTTGCAGCTCTTGGAGCCTAGACTGCCTTTACAGTTTATTTAGGGCCATTGGTCTGCATCTCTTTTTTAGTACCAGTATCATGCTGTTTTGATTACTGTAGCCTTGTAGTGTAGTTTGAAGTCAGGTAGCGTGATGCCTCCAGCTTTGTTCTTTTTGCTTAGGATTGTCTTGGCTATGAGGGCTCTCTTTTGGTTCCATATGAAGTTTAAAGTGTTTTTTCCCAGTTCTGTGAAGAACGTCAATGGTAGCTTGATGGAGATCGCATTGAATCTATAAATTACTTTGGGCAGTATGGCCATTTTCATAATATTGATTCTTCCTAACCAGGAGCATGGAATGTTTCTCCATCTGTTTGTGTCCTCTCTTATTTCCTTGAGTGGTGGTTTGTAGTTCTCCTTGAAGAGGTTCTTCACATCCTTTGTTAGTTGTATTCCTAGATGTTATCTTTTCTTTTCTTTTTTTTTTTTTTTTTTTTT